GACAATCATTATTTAAAGATGACAGTGACATTTCTAGAAATGCATAATTTGTCTTTATCAGCTCACCATTTTAAAATCAGCAAATATTTTGAATTGCTGTTCTCAAATAAACATTTTGACAACAGTTTTTAAACGTTTCTGAGTATATGAAATGTTTTTCTTCATTGGTTTTAAGACAATCATTATTTAAAGATGACAGTGACATTTCTAGAAATGCATAATTTGTCTTTATCAGCTCACCATTTTAAAATCAGCAAATATTTTGAATTGCTGTTCTCAAATAAACATTTTGACAACAGTTTTTAAACGTTTCTGAGTATATGAAATGTTTTTCTTCATTGGTTTTAAGACAATCATTATTTAAAGATGACAGTGACATTTCTAGAAATGCATAATTTGTCTTTATCAGCTCACCATTTTAAAATCAGCAAATATTTTGAATTGCTGTTCTCAAATAAACATTTTGACAACAGTTTTTAAACGTTTCTGAGTATATGAAATGTTTTTCTTCATTGGTTTTAAGACAATCATTATTTAAAGATGACAGTGACATTTCTAGAAATGCATAATTTGTTTTTATCAGCTCACCATTTTAAAATCAGCAAATATTTTGAATTGCTGTTCTCAAATAAACATTTTGACAACAGTTTTTAAACGTTTCTGAGTATATGAAATGTTTTTCTTCATTGGTTTTAAGACAATCATTATTTAAAGATGACAGTGACATTTCTAGAAATGCATAATTTGTCTTTATCAGCTCACCATTTTAAAATCAGCAAATATTTTGAATTGCTGTTCTCAAATAAACATTTTGACAACAGTTTTTAAACGTTTCTGAGTATATGAAATGTTTTTCTTCATTGGTTTTAAGACAATCATTATTTAAAGATGACAGTGACATTTCTAGAAATGCATAATTTGTCTTTATCAGCTCACCATTTTAAAATCAGCAAATATTTTGAATTGCTGTTCTCAAATAAACATTTTGACAACAGTTTTTAAACGTTTCTGAGTATATGAAATGTTTTTCTTCATTGGTTTTAAGACAATCATTATTTAAAGATGACAGTGACATTTCTAGAAATGCATAATTTGTCTTTATCAGCTCACCATTTTAAAATCAGCAAATATTTTGAATTGCTGTTCTCAAATAAACATTTTGACAACAGTTTTTAAACGTTTCTGAGTATATGAAATGTTTTTCTTCATTGGTTTTAAGACAATCATTATTTAAAGATGACAGTGACATTTCTAGAAATGCATAATTTGTTTTTATCAGCTCACCATTTTAAAATCAGCAAATATTTTGAATTGCTGTTCTCAAATAAACATTTTGACAACAGTTTTTAAACGTTTCTGAGTATATGAAATGTTTTTCTTCATTGGTTTTAAGACAATCATTATTTAAAGATGACAGTGACATTTCTAGAAATGCATAATTTGTCTTTATCAGCTCACCATTTTAAAATCAGCAAATATTTTGAATTGCTGTTCTCAAATAAACATTTTGACAACAGTTTTTAAACGTTTCTGAGTATATGAAATGTTTTTCTTCATTGGTTTTAAGACAATCATTATTTAAAGATGACAGTGACATTTCTAGAAATGCATAATTTGTCTTTATCAGCTCACCATTTTAAAATCAGCAAATATTTTGAATTGCTGTTCTCAAATAAACATTTTGACAACAGTTTTTAAACGTTTCTGAGTATATGAAATGTTTTTCTTCATTGGTTTTAAGACAATCATTATTTAAAGATGACAGTGACATTTCTAGAAATGCATAATTTGTCTTTATCAGCTCACCATTTTAAAATCAGCAAATATTTTGAATTGCTGTTCTCAAATAAACATTTTGACAACAGTTTTTAAACGTTTCTGAGTATATGAAATGTTTTTCTTCATTGGTTTTAAGACAATCATTATTTAAAGATGACAGTGACATTTCTAGAAATGCATAATTTGTCTTTATCAGCTCACCATTTTAAAATCAGCAAATATTTTGAATTGCTGTTCTCAAATAAACATTTTGACAACAGTTTTTAAACGTTTCTGAGTATATGAAATGTTTTTCTTCATTGGTTTTAAGACAATCATTATTTAAAGATGACAGTGACATTTCTAGAAATGCATAATTTGTTTTTATCAGCTCACCATTTTAAAATCAGCAAATATTTTGAATTGCTGTTCTCAAATAAACATTTTGACAACAGTTTTTAAACGTTTCTGAGTATATGAAATGTTTTTCTTCATTGGTTTTAAGACAATCATTATTTAAAGATGACAGTGACATTTCTAGAAATGCATAATTTGTCTTTATCAGCTCACCATTTTAAAATCAGCAAATATTTTGAATTGCTGTTCTCAAATAAACATTTTGACAACAGTTTTTAAACGTTTCTGAGTATATGAAATGTTTTTCTTCATTGGTTTTAAGACAATCATTATTTAAAGATGACAGTGACATTTCTAGAAATGCATAATTTGTCTTTATCAGCTCACCATTTTAAAATCAGCAAATATTTTGAATTGCTGTTCTCAAATAAACATTTTGACAACAGTTTTTAAACGTTTCTGAGTATATGAAATGTTTTTCATCATTGGTTTTAAGACAATCATTATTTAAAGATGACAGTGACATTTCTAGAAATGCATAATTTGTCTTTATCAGCTCACCATTTTAAAATCAGCAAATATTTTGAATTGCTGTTCTCAAATAAACATTTTGACAACAGTTTTTAAACGTTTCTGAGTATATGAAATGTTTTTCTTCATTGGTTTTAAGACAATCATTATTTAAAGATGACAGTGACATTTCTAGAAATGCATAATTTGTCTTTATCAGCTCACCATTTTAAAATCAGCAAATATTTTGAATTGCTGTCCTCAAATAAACATTTTGACAACAGTTTTTAAACGTTTCTGAGTATATGAAATGTTTTTCATCATTGGTTTTAAGACAGTCATTATTTAAAGATGACAGTGACATTTCTAGAAATGCATAATTTGTCTTTATCAGCTCACCATTTTAAAATCAGCAAATATTTTGAATTGCTGTTCTCAAATAAACATTTTGACAACAGTTTTTAAACGTTTCTGAGTATATGAAATGTTTTTCTTCATTGGTTTTAAGACAATCATTATTTAAAGATGACAGTGACATTTCTATAAATGCATAATTTGTCTTTATCAGCTCACCATTTTAAAATCAGCAAATATTTTGAATTGCTGTTCTCAAATAAACATTTTGACAACAGTTTTTAAACGTTTCTGAGTATATGAAATGTTTTTCTTCATTGGTTTTAAGACAATCATTATTTAAAGATGACAGTGACATTTCTAGAAATGCATAATTTGTCTTTATCAGCTCACCATTTTAAAATCAGCAAATATTTTGAATTGCTGTTCTCAAATAAACATTTTGACAACAGTTTTTAAACGTTTCTGAGTATATGAAATGTTTTTCTTCATTGGTTTTAAGACAATCATTATTTAAAGATGACAGTGACATTTCTAGAAATGCATAATTTGTCTTTATCAGCTCACCATTTTAAAATCAGCAAATATTTTGAATTGCTGTCCTCAAATAAACATTTTGACAACAGTTTTTAAACGTTTCTGAGTATATGAAATGTTTTTCATCATTGGTTTTAAGACAGTCATTATTTAAAGATGACAGTGACATTTCTAGAAATGCATAATTTGTCTTTATCAGCTCACCATTTTAAAATCAGCAAATATTTTGAATTGCTGTTCTCAAATAAACATTTTGACAACAGTTTTTAAACGTTTCTGAGTATATGAAATGTTTTTCTTCATTGGTTTTAAGACAATCATTATTTAAAGATGACAGTGACATTTCTATAAATGCATAATTTGTCTTTATCAGCTCACCATTTTAAAATCAGCAAATATTTTGAATTGCTGTTCTCAAATAAGTATTTTGACAACAGTTTTTAAACGTTTCTAAAAGTATGAAATATTTTTCTTTATTGGTTTTAAGACAATGACTATTTAAAGATACCAGTGTGACATTTCTAGAAATTCATAATTTGACTTTATTAGCTTGCCATTTTAAAATCAGTAAATATTTTGAAATGCTGTTCTCAAACAAATATTTCGACAACAGTTTTTAAACGTTTCTGAAAGTATGAAATGTTTTTCCTCATTGCTTTTAAGACAGTCATTAATTAAAGATGACAGTGACATAGAAATGCATAATTTGACTTTTATCAGCTAGCCATTTTAACATCAGCAAATATTTTGAATTGCTGTTCTCAAACAAATAATTTTGCCATTTATCATTAATAATTTAACGAATTTAAATTACCCGCGACCATTAGATAATATTTCGATTAGTTGCCACTGCTTATCTACCTTGTTATTTACATCATTGATCCCTTCCATACAAACTATCGATATAGAATGAAGTAGAAACAACATAAACATTATTTTGACACTTTTACGTCATATGTCAAACTCGAGTTATTTTTCTAAATGATAAAAAAACCATTTTAATTCTGTCAATAATCAAATATAAAATTATTGACTACAAATTAATTCAATTTACGACTCCAAGTCGCCATTTTAATTTCACTTTTCCATCACTCAAAGTGCGTTCATCTGTCAATATCATAAAATAGTGTTAATATCGTCTGTACTTCATTCTATCTCAATGGATAATGACAGATGAACGTATTTAGCGATGCTAAGAGTGTAATCAAAATGGCGACAAAAGTTTTGTTCTAACAACGATCAGAAACCAGTGTCTGACACACCAGGATTCTGCGCAGAATCCTGGTGTTAGTATCTGCTTTTTGAAAGTTATTGGAACAGACCTTTAGAGTATTTATATCATTTAAACGAAGCTATTTAAAAAAAAACGACATTTATTCCCACCAAAACCACCGAACAACACCGACCACCTCTAATTTGACACATGACACTTTATATATACATAAAAAAAAATGTAATTCACCAATATGTCACATGATGCTTACCTTCTTGGTTGTAGCAAATACTTGACCGTTTGTATAGATCTGTCAGCTTGTTCTTTGGGCAAATTAAGCAACGGAAGTTCCACCAATCCGAGAAAGTCGTCTCTAGTTAGCCGATTTTCATCAAATACTTGTAAAATTAATTTGTGTTCTGCCGGTTTAACCTAAATTTATATTTATATTATAATTTTATCAATATTGAGTTAGTAAAACGTATGAATAACGTATCAAATAAGATCGTAGATGTTTCTAGTTATGAAGTAGTTAGGAGGAAGGCCGTTATGGGAACTAATTTATTTGCAGAACGTGGTAGAATAATAAAAATGATTAAAAAATAATAAAGTTCACATTATCTTTAATGATTAACCTATTGATTATAGTATATTATTAAACGAGCAATTTATGGTAGCCATTATTCACGCAGGGTGACGTTTGCGTCCCGAGCCGTAGGCGAGGGGCGCAAGTCACCCGAGTGACTAATGGCCATAAATTGCGAGTCTAATACTATATTGTCCACGACCATTATGGTTTCTTTATTAAATAAAAGTTAAGTGTGAATGGAAAGTTTTTATTAAACATAGGTAACTAACTTTTCGATTTTTCGTTTTTATCGATTTTTTTTTAATTTTTCGATTTTTCGATTTTTTTGATTTTTTTCGATTTTTCGATTTTTTTTTTTCGATTTTTTCGATTTTTTCGATTTTTCGATTTTTTTTCGATTTTTCGATTTTTCGATTTTTTTTTTAATTTTCGATTTTTTTTTATTTTTCGATTTTTTTTTTTCAATTTTTCGATTTTTCGATTTTTTTTTCAATTTTTCGATTTTTCGATTTTTTTTCGACTTTTCGATTTTTCGTTATTATCGATTTTTTTTTCGATTTTTTTTTATTTTTCGATTTTTCTTTTTTAGATTTTTCGATTTTTCTTTTTTAGATTTTTCGATTTTTCGATTTTTTTTTTAGATTTTTCGATTTTTTTTTTATTTTTCGGTTTTTTTTTTATTTTTCGATTTTTTTTTTCAATTTTTCGATTTTTTTTCAATTTTTCGATTTTTTTTCAATTTTTCGATTTTTTTTTATTTTTCGATTTTTTTTCGATTTTCGATTTTTCTTTTTTAGATTTTTCGATTTTTCGATTTTTTTTTTTATTTTTCGATTTTTTTTTTTCAATTTTTCGATTTTTTTTTCAATTTTTCGATTTTTTTAGATTTTCTTTCGATTTTTCGATTTTTTTCGATTTTTTAAATTTTTTTTCGATTTTCCGGTTTTTTTTTCGATTTTTTCGGTTTTTTTTTTCGATTTTTCAAATTTTTTTTCGATTTTTCGATTTTTTGGTTTTTCGATCTAGAAAATATCGTTATGAAAAGTATCTTTAGTTATCTATCGGAATGTGCCAGAATTACAAAAGCGTGAATTATCATAATTCACTCCGTGATATATGGGTACTATATGCTCTTAGTTAGGAGGTAGAATATTGATTTATTATTAAGTGGTCGTGGACAAAATATATTATTAAATAGTTTGAAAAATATTTACCCTAAATATAAATTCTTCATTCCATTCAGGACTAAGAGTCTGTAATAAACAAAAATAAATTTAATTTGTGTACTTTGTAATCCTGAAGTATTTTACCACATGAATTCATGTCAGTAATTATTTAAGAGTGTAAAGATGGGTTAGGATGTAAAATAACATCAGTATATTATATTGGATATACAGTAAAATGCAAATGAATAGGAAAAAAATCCTGAAACTGTTACAAAAAAAATATCAATGCAAGTATAGTCATAGATGGAAGGTTACCTATTTTTTTGTGCTATTAGCATCAATTGCTTTGGTTACTGTTTTCCCAGCAACACTTAAATTCGTAAGGCGTATATATATAGAACCCAACAGTGAATGAACCAGTGAGGAATCCTGTCATTAATGATGCCAATTGAAGCCCGATTTTGTCAACATTAACTATATATATTAATACACAGTCAAAGGAAAAATTTATAAAATTGGTTTCACATAAATTGCATGCATAATAATCCAAATGTTTCGTGATCGTCTATGGGGAAGAGGAGGGGTTGTAGATTGAATTATTTGATTAAAAAACGACAGTTATATTGAAATAATCCACTACTTTTTATAAAATATTAAATATGAGTACAGAGTTTATTAAAATACCAGTTTTAGTATTATTTATTTCGAAAAGATGCCAGTACTACAACAGATATTACAGGATATAGAAAAAGTTAATAGAAAGTAGGTTTTACTCCATGAGATAAATATATAGATCTTACTTACCCTTTTTCTTGTTTTTGTAAGAACAGAATCAATAGTTTCATCTCCACTGATGCTGTTTAAATCAATTCTTACATACGGATCGCTGAAAAAAATTATATATACAACAGTTATCAGGTATATAACTGCTTTTAAGTTAATTTTGACAAACTATATTTCAAAAAAAAAATTGTACAACTGAAGAAAATGAAGTGATATTCATGGCTGAAAATTTTTAATATTTAATTTACTGATGGGATAGCTCACCTTGCTCCAAAAATGTCTTTTTTCATAAGGTTTTTAGCACAGACAACTCTAAGACGTAGTTTACTTGTTGGTTCTTCAGTCTGAAACAAAAATAAGTATTGGATATGCTACATTAAAAAATATTCTCAATTACATAGTAAAAATTTGTTGACGTGTGCTTATTAGATTAGAAATAAGAAATATTGAGTTGTTACAAATTATCTAAGAACATACAGACTTTTGTTTAGTAACACCATTCATTTTAGCTCCATGAAAGGTTCTTAATTTGTTAACTAAAAATGAGCAGAGCATTTTAAAAAATATTAATAAAAAAAGTTTGTTTTTGTGGCATAAAAAATAGCTACTAACTTTGATACACTACAATTTCAAAATAATAGACAATAGAAAGTTTTGCAAAAATCACTTCTTCTTCTTCTTATTCTTAACAGACTGTAATGCTAATGACATTGCCAAATAAGATAGCAGAGTTGAAATTTATGTCATAATTTTAGGTTATTTTTATCCCCTATTCAAAAATTTTATGTTGCACAATTTTTAAAAAAATCAAGGCTTAGAATGAAACAATATCACTGGAAAAAACATGTACAGATAATAGACAAGCACTGATCACCCTGTATAGACTGTAAATTTACTCAGGGTTAGTACTAGAATGTCACATTTAAGATGTAATTACAAAATGTTTTTCTTCATTGATTTTAAGACAGTGATTACTTATAGATAGCAGTGTGACATTTCTCTAAATGCATAATTTGACTTTATTAGATCGCCATTTTTAAATCAATAAATATTTTGGATTGCTGTTCTCAAACAAATATTTTGACAACAGTTTTTAAACATTTCTGAAAGTATGAAATGTTTTTCTTCATTGGTTTTAAGACAGTGATTATTTAAAGATGGCAGTGTGGCATTTCTAGAAATTCATAATTTGACTTTATCAGCTTGCCATTTTAAAATCAGCAAATATTTTGAATTGCTGTTCTCAAACAAATATTGTGACAACAGTTTTTAAACATTTCTAAAAGTATGAATTTTTTTTCTTCATTGGTTTTAAGACAGTGATTATTTAAAGTTGGCAATGACATTTCTAGAAATTCATAATTTGACTTTATCAGATAGCCATTTTAAAATCAGTAAATATTTTGAATTGCTGTTCTCAAACAAATATTTTGACAACAGTTTCTAAATGTTTCTATAAGTATAAAATATTTTTCTTCATTGTTTTTAAGACAGTGATTATTTAAAGATTGCAGTGTGACCTTTATAGAAATTCATAATTTGACTTTATCAGCTTGCCATTTTAAAATCAGCAAATATTTTGAATTGCTGTTCTCAAACAAATATTGTGACAACAGTTTTTAAACATTTCTGAAAGTATGAATTTTTTTTCTTCATTGGTTTTAAGACAGTGATTATTTAAAGTTGGCAATGACATTTCTAGAAATTCATAATTTAACTTTATCAGATAGCCATTTTAAAATCAGTAAATATTTTGAATTGCTGTTCTCAAACAAATATTTTGACAACAGTTTTTAAATGTTTCTATAAGTATAAAATATTTTTCTTCATTGTTTTTAAGACAGTGATTATTTAAAGATGACAGTGACATTTCTAGAAATGCATAATTTGACTTTATCAGATAGCAATTTTAAAATCAGTAAATATTTTGAATTGCTCTTCTCAAAAAACACCTTGGCAACAATTTATAAATGTTTCTCTAAGTATGAAAACATTTTAAACCCTTAATAATGCCTCTCTGGCAAGGAGTGAGGGCTGCTATATTAATCCTAGCCACAATTCAAAGAAACAAAGTGTAGGATAGGTGAAAGTATCACCATAGGCTCAGCAGAAAACTGTAACACCGACTCAAGACCCCCAGGAATTGTGTTTTTATTTTATGCCTCTGTTGTATATATTTTAATATTTTTAATAAGATGAATAGATGATTCAAATGCAAATGCCATTTTAAAATCTGTAAATATTTTGACAACAGTTTCTAAACGTTTTTTGTAAAGTATTCAACCACTTGCAAAGTCCTAAAGTGGTTTTTATAACCTAAAATGTGGTATTTTTTTAAATTTTAGCCTCAACTACTGTGGTCATGTGATTAACTTTGAATTTTAGTATATATATAATTCATTAAATGCTTCAATAAAATTCAAGGTCAATTAAGGAGTAGGAGAAAGAAAATTGAATGATTTACTCTTCACTAAGGGAGTGAAGATTCCTCATCCCCACAACAATTTAATAGTCAAAATATGTTGAGCATTTCTAACCAATCTTTTATAAAATAAATCATAAAAATGAATAGGGGATTTACCCTTTTTTTTTAAAGGTTTAAAAGTTATTGGTTGCAGTTTGGCAAATGGACCTAAATAAAAAAATAGGGCACACTCTAAATATATTTTCTCATTAGATAGATTATACTTATAGAAAATTAACCTACAGATACTTGTAACAAAAAATATATGTAAATTAAATCAACTAAATTAATTTTGTGTCTTTTTTACATTAGTTTTAAACAAATCAATTATTATAGCTTGTAATATTCATTATTTTGTGTAGGTACTGTAAATTATAATTGTGACATGTACAATAAACCATTAAATATTGATTAAAATACACCATATAATTAGTTCATGACATCATGAAATAAAAAAAAACAACTCAAAATATGTAACATCAAAAACTGTATAATTGAAAGAATGGTAATAGAACTGGAACAATATGTATAAGGGATTATTTTCGAAGATGACGATGAGCCTAGCTCATTGAGAACATAGCAAAAAGTTACACTTACATATCCATCAGTCCCAACTTGCGGAACATAGCCAAATACACTGTCTGAAGCCATTTTATGACGAATTAGCACTTCGGTTTACATTAAATGTAAAAAAACTCACAGCCACAAAAGCGAATTAAAAATCACAGCTAAATTATTATTATTAAAATGAAAATACATCAACATCAAATCAACTTTGACATTACTGGATTACTGACATTTGACATATGATGACATATAACTGTCACGATCAAAGTAGTGGGTTACGAATAGATAGATGCGTTCTGAAATTTTCTTTCAATCCAAGTTTTTCAAATGTACAGTTGAAACTACTTAGGTTCGATTCCACCGTTGTGTTAAACGAAGTTTAAAATGACATTTTTACATTAACAATGTCATTTTAATCTCCGTTTAACACAGCGGTGGAATCGGTCCTTAAGGAAATGAACTTTTTAGTAGGCTACAGTATAAAAAAAAGGATAAAAAAGGAACTAGTCCGGAACCAATCCAGAACCAGTCCAGACCTAATCCAGAACTAGTCCAGAACTAATCCAGAACTGATCCAGAACTAGTCCAGAACTAGTCCAGAACTAGTCCAGAACTAGTCCAGAACCAGTATAGAACCGGTCCAGAACTGATCCAGAACCGGTCCAGAATTAGTCCAGAATTAGTCCAGAACTAGTCTAGAACTAGTCCAGAACTAATCCATAACTAGTATAGAACTGATCCAGAACCAGTCCAGAACCAGTCTAGAACCAGTCCAAAACTGATCCAGAACCGGTCCAGAACTGGTCCAGAACTAGTCCGGTTCCAGTCCAGAACTGGTCCAGAACTAATCCAGAACCGGTCCGGAACTAGTCCAGAACTGATCCAGAACCAGTCCAGAACTAGTCCAGAACTAGTTCAGAACTAGTCCGGAAACAGTCCAGAACCAGTCCAGAACTGATCCAAAACTAGTCCAGAACCGGTCCAGAACTGATCCAGAACCGGTCCAGAACTAGTCCAGAACCGGTCCAGAACTAGTCCAGAACTGATCCAAAACTAGTCCAGAACTGGTCCAGAACCAGACCAGAACTGATCCAGAACCGGTCCAGAACTGATCAAGAACCGGTCCAGAACTAGTCCAGAACCAGTTCAGAATCAGTCCAGAACTGATCCAGAACCAGTCCAGAATTGATCCAGAACACATCCAGAACTGATCCAGAACACATCCATAACCAGTCCAGAACTGTTCTAGAACCAGTCTAGATCCGGTCCAGAACTGATCTAGAACTAATACAAAACCATTACTGATCTATAACTAATCCAGAACCAGAACTGGTACAGAACTGGTCCAGAACTGATCTAAAACTAATCCAGAACCAGAACTGGTCCAGAACTGATCTAAAACTGGTCCAGAACCGGTCCAGAACTGATCTAGAACTAATCCAGAACCAGAACTGGTCCAGAACTGATCTAAAACTGGTCCAGAACCGGTCCAGTACTGATCTAGAACTAATCCAGAACCAGAACCCGTCCAGAACTGATCCAGAAGCGGTCCAGAACTGATCTAGAACTGAACCAGAACTGATCCATAACTGATCCAGAACCGATCTAGAACTAATCCAGAACCCGTCCAGAACTGATCCAGAACTGATCTAGAACTAATCCAGAACCGACATATCCGGCACTAATGATGAGCGATATCGTGATTTTTTAGTAACAGTTATTTGTTTCTGTAATTTTTAAATATCAGTTATTTTAAGTCGTGACGTGATCACGGTTTTAAATGACTAAGGGCTGGTTTTTCAATCTCCGGCTATTTAGGATAGCTGGCAGCGAGACTAGCACTGAAAAAAAGTACAGTTCCAAAAAATTCGAACTTTGAGCAAGAGCGCCTGCCAGTCGAACAAAAATTTCACTATGCCTTGGTACCAAGCAATTTCAGTCGAATGCAATAATTGACTTTTAATTAATTAGGTTCTGCTAGTCGAACAAACGCCACTTAAAAAAGTCGAACTAAAAATGCGCATTAATGCAGCCAGTCGAATCCGCTAACAGTTTTTAAACATAGTAATGGATTTGGTTGGAATACGAAAAATTGATACTTGCATCTGTAAGTTCATCATACTTGCAGATCTGCAAAGTTGCAAGCTTGCTTTTTCTGTAATCTCGCCCTAGATTTGTCCTGGTTTTTATAAGAACAGCAATATAAAATATTTACTCATTTTAAAATGACAATCTAATAAAGTCAAAATATGCATTTCTATAAATGCCACACTGCCATCTTTAAATAATCACTATCTTAAAACCAATGAAGAAAAACATTTCATACTTTCAGAAACGTTTAAAAACTGTTGTCAGAATATTTGTTTGAGAACAGCAATTCAAAATATTTGCTGATTTTAAAATTACAAGCTGATAAAGTCAAATTATGTGTTTCTATAAATGCCATACTGCCATCTTTAAATAATCATTGTCTTAAAACCAATGAAGAAAAACATTTCATACTTTCAGAAACGTTTAAAAATTGTTGTCAAAATATTTGTTTGAGAACAGCAATTCAAAATATTTACTGATTTTAAAATGACGATTTAATAATAAAGTCAAATCATTGGTTTCTAGAATTGTTACACTGTTTTTTAAATAATCATTGTATTAAACCTTTTTTTTTTTTAATAACTTATGCAACAAAATTTAATAAAAAACACGATTTTAAATAATCCTTATATGTACTGCGTAATAATTTTGATATTTACACTTACTATCCACAATGATCTTCTAGAACCTCTAGCTCCTCGTTCAAATCGAGAAGTTGTAGGGCTAGATGAAGCGTTTCCTGGCCTAGAATTCCAAGTATTGCTCCTAGCTCGTGTAATATATCCCGCCTCCATGTCGATGCGATTGTTTTTTCGACTAGGAATTGCACCATTTCTATTCGTATTTCGGTTGTCTACGGTTTCCATTAAAAAGTCCTTTTTATTCACTATTTTTTTACATTTCCGCACAATTATATATTTAGCGAATCACGACACGTCACATGCATAAAAATTGACCTATTCACCACCCAGCACTAACTGGTTATCTTTAATTTTAGTATACTTATTTAATTTAAAAGAGTAAATATAAGATAAGCAGATTTATTCATTGTTTAATAATGTATTAAATATATTACCAGGCGAAACAACACAACAACATTTCGAAGGAAAATATTTTCTGAAAATATCAGCAGTGGCGAATCCATTTAATTTTAGTTCGAAATGAATTTGAAAACTATATAAGACAAAGAGCTGAGATTCGGTAGACAAATCAAAGCAGTTCCTGACAGCAATATGCAACATAAAATAATAAAAATAAAAGTTCAAACAATTATACACAAATTTAATATGATTTCTTTTAAGAGGAAAATTTACATTACAAACTGAAAGACCTGCGGGGCAACGGTAGTTTAGTAGGTATAAAAATTACAGCTTTAGGGTGGAGCCTAAATACTACAAAATTACTTCCGAGACTAAACAAAATCCGCATTCATTCATAATTTTAACAATTGCCTGTAGATACGAGGGATACGTATTCCAAATTCTAACGCGCGAAATTAAGACAAAGGAACCGAAAAATCCTAACACGGAGTGAGTCAGAGTTACCTAGATTAGGGGAACCAGAATCGTATTTGCTTTTCTCGGTGCATTGCGAGATATTGTTATAACGCAGTTCGATTTATTAGAGGGTTTTATATTATTTTTATATTTTAATTTAGTGAATAGGTTTAGTTAGATTAAATTACATTTAAGAGTATAGAGGTGTGAAATATAAATACAAATAACAAAAAAATAGACGATTGGTTCGAATAAGGTAATATCAATTAATACAGGGTATTTATTTATTGAGTGCCGATACTTAAGGGTGTGAATCCTTTGGGTGTTAAAGTTTTAAGAAAAAAAAAATAACTATTTTATCATAAGTTTCTTATCACTCTAGATATTTTTATGAAATTTTTCCCAAAAAAAGTGTTTCCACTCATGGTGGGTTCCTACCAAATTTCAACAAAATATCAAAAGCAGTTTCAATATACTGGTTTTCATTTTCTTACCCGAAAAGGGTGTTTCGTACGAAAGTACGTCATAAACCAAATTTGCTCCAAAATATATAAGAATTTTAAAGATAATTTTGGTTTTTAGAAAAAGCAGTGGCGCACCATATTTTTTTTTCAAAAATATTCAGTTCAAACCCGGCACGGACGTCACTAGTAAAAATTTAAAAGTTTTTTACGGCAAAAGGCGATATTGAAAGTGAAAGTTTAGTCTGTTGGTACATAATATACTATATTTATATATCTAATTTTTATTATTACACTGAATGTGACATGGCTTTTTTTTGCCTTTTTTGGATCAACAAAATATTATTTTAATGATTTAAAATAAACTGCCAGTAATAATAATAATAATTATCTGTACTTAAACATATGCAAAAAGAAATCATAAAACGACGCATAAAGAAAGCACCAAATTATTAAACTTTTAATTTACGTAAGATGTGTTGAAAGTAATTTTAAAAAACCGACTTTAAAATCGTGCAGATGCCATCACCACATCTGAACCAAATTTATATGGGACCACCCCTGAGGTACCCCCTTACTAACGAAAAGAATTATAGAAATCGGACGAGGTGGTAAAGAATTATCGCTAAACATACATAAAAAATGAAAAGTTTGAGGATTTTCCCATTGACCCAATTATTAGATTTTGAACAAATTTATATGGGACCATCCCGGAAGTACCCCCTTTCCAGCAAAAAAAATAATTTAAATCGGACATTGTGTTAAAGAATTATCGTTGAACATACATAAAAAAAATATACAGACGAATTGAGAACCTCCTCCTTTTTGAAGTAGGTTAAAAAGGATAGGTATAATAATCTATATTATTTGTAATAACTAAAAAACTACTATGTGGAGTTATATACATCTTCTTAAATTAATATTATATGTAAAAATGTGGGTTCGGTTCCTAGAAGAGTACCTAGTTCACTGTGTAGCCAAATTTATATTTATGGTACAGAATTTTTTGAATAAATAAAGTTTTAGGTTTAATTAAACACTAAGTTTTATCAGGAATAACATTTTCTGAAAAAAGTAACATAAAAAGCAGACTTTTTGCGAGCCACTATAATATATATTTTAGAGGACAATCCATATTATTTTAGAAAAATAAATTAAAGTTTTGTATAATCACATAAATGT